ATTGTTAGAATATTATTAGCCTGCAAGAATAAAGGGATGGTTGAATTTTAAAATGGAAGATAGCTGTTGGAGGCCACTATTTTGGAGAGGAAAAGCAGCAGAATGTGGAACAAAAGCAAGAAAATTTGTCTTAAATATGCTATTTTTTGCTTCAAAATATCATTCTATTGTTAGTTTGGCAGTTTCAAGGAAAATATTTGGCCCAAGAATATCTTCAATAAGTTTGGAAATGGTACAGGTGTTATCATAAGATACACATAGAATGGGTAAAAAAGGGTCCTAACAGAACCTAAATCTTCCCAATCTGACTAAAGTATTTTTGGGTGAGTCTAATTTTAGTGTAAGTTCCAGGTGATTAAGAAAATGTTCATAATGTCACAATCAAGTATTCAGGTGTAACCTACAATGAGGCACAGAACATACTGCATCTGGCTATTGCTGATTCTTGGTCATAAGATTTTTATTGTAATTTTGAAGTACTTATACAGTATCTCCATCTTTATTATCCAGAGAACTTACATCCATCTGTGACTTGCTGAGGTGATTAAGAAAATGTTCATAATGTCACAATCAAGTATTGAGGTGTAACCTATAATGAGGCACAGAACATACTGCCCTGGGCTATTGTTGATTCTTGGTCATAAGATTTTTATTGTATTTTGAAGCACTTACAACACAATCTTCGTTACCCATCTGTGAACTTGCTCAGAAAATATGTCTTTGTGAGTTTTAAAATTGACTTTGGGGATCATCTTCATCAATACCAGTCAAAGTTCCACCAAATTCTTCAACCTTACTACAAAGCAACAATTGCTGGAAAGAAAGAAAACATGAGCAAGGCTTTGTGGCTCTCGATTGCCATCCTTCTCTGCTCTGCCTTGGGTGAGTAGCCAAAATTCGAGCTTTGAACAGTATTGCTGCAATGGGAATATGTTGAGATATTGTGCTCATATTGTGCTCTTCTTTACACTCTTTCTAGTCTCTCAACATATTTTTTATATCGTGGCAATCACGATGAGGACATTGAAGAATACTGGGTCAAAAAAGAAACCTTGTGGTCCCAATTGCATACTTCCCTCCATGTATATGTAGTAATAGTAAGGATTATACATTGAGTGTGGTTAGTTAGGCAGTTATGAATCCATCTGATGGTGATGTTGTCTAACCCACATTTTTCTGTCGTATCATGTAGTCGATTGTGGTCTACTTTATCAAATGCCTTACTAAAGTCCAAGTAAATTATATCCATGGCATTTCTCTAGTCCACTAATTTTGTCACATTGTCCACAAATGTAATAACACTTATCTAGCATGATCTGTTTTTGACAAATCCATGTTGGCTTCTGGTTATGACTTTGTTTGCTTCTAGATGTTTGCAGATTTGTCACTTGATTATCTTTTCCAGAATCTCAACAGGTATTGATGTCAGGCATGATAGGGAAATAGTGTTCTGGATTAATTTTTCACCTTTTTTGAAGATAGGAACTACACCAGCCCTTTTCCAGTCATCTGGTAGTTCTCTGGTGCTCCAGGATCTTTGAAAGATATTGTTCACTAGTTCTAAGATCACATCTACCAGGTCATTCAGAACTCTGGGATGTAATCCATCTGGTCCTGGAATACTTTCCTTCAGTGTTCGATGAGTACAACCAGAAATGAAACAACAAGCTTTAAAGTTGTGAGTCCAGAGCTCTTAAACTCTTTGGAATCACCACAAAGTTTCTGTGGAGATTTGTCTACCACAAATATTTTGTCATTCATACAGAGTGAATCTGCCCTTGAAGAGAGATTGTGGCAACCTAGACTAAGAATAAAAAAAAGAAGGAGATTAATATATTTCATTTTTTTTTTACATTTTTCACTAATGTAACAGTGGTCCTTATTATAACAGTGGAATATTTTGCAAATGTACTGTAAATTTATTACTTCCCACTCGTACTCTCCCTTTCAAAAAAAACCCTGCACACTATTCTGGTTTTCTGCTGAACATCATCAGAGGTTATAAAGATTTCTATTTTTTACCTTGAAATTGTAGCATTCTTTAAATTTGGGGGCCCTTGTGAATGAATGCATGCCTCCCTCTCATTTTTTTCAGTTTCACCATTTTGCCTACCATTTTATTGGTACTAACTACCCAGTTAAACAATTGGGAAAATGAGAGGTAAAGAAATTCTGGAGCTGTAGAAATTAATTATATTTATACAACCTGGATTTTCCTTCTTCTTTTTCCAGCAGCTGAAGCTCTTACTTGCTTCCAATGCCTAAATTTGAAACTGAATCCTTCAGCATGCATCAATAACGAACCATCAAAAACGTGTATTGCCAGACCAGGTGACTCATGTAATATTGTCAGATTTTCTACAAGTACGTATATTTCTACTTAAAATCTGATATTATTCCGAGAAAAATATTAAAATATTCCCTCTGGACATGACATACATTTTCCTATTAAAAATACAATAGTGTATTTATGACCTTCTTGTTTTCTATGCTCTGAACAGAGACGAAAGTAGAGAGTGATAGGCAAGTTGCAGTTTTTGATCCTGTACTTTCTGTTTTACAGACTATCTCAACTCCAAGAATTCCCATCTCATTTGCAAATAGATACCTGCACACTGTTCTAAGGAGGTTTCCTGATTAGTTCCGCAGTGATGTAGATGTGCTAATCTATTTTCTTCTTTTTCAGGTAGAAAAAAGAAAGGTGTGTTTCAACAATCGTGCGTTAAGCCTGATTTTGATTGTAATATGACTATTACATTTGAAACAAATGACACTTACGAAAGCAAATGTTGTGAGCATCGTGACCTCTGCAACACAGCATAAGAAAGCAGTTTGTGGTGTTCCGACATCACCACAAATACGGCACATATTTTTTTCTCTACGTTTTCTCAGTTGTTTTTTTCTTTCCCGAAGCTTCTGCTACACTTCAGGAAATGATCTGATTAATCCATTGGTTTCAAGATGTGATGGCTTGTTTTAGGATGTGGCTGCAGTATTGTAGATATTTTTCTAGTTCCAATGATTAATAATAATAATAATAATAATAATAATAATAATAATAATAATAATAATAAAGTTGGAAGGGATCTTGGAGGTCATCTAGTCCAACCCCCTGCTCAGGCAAGAAACCCTATACCATTTCAGACAAATGGCTGTCCAGTCTCTTCCTTCAGTCTGTGCTTGTGCATTATTTTAAACACTGGTTCTCCTCTTTTATCAGAAAGATATATATGTGTATTTATGCATGTGTGTGTGTGTTTATTAAATTAAAGCAAATTGTGGAATTAATGTCAAAAAATGTCACATTTCTAGCAATCAAATATTTAATATAGATTTGCCTATGAATATTAAGTCTTGATATCTGCAAAATACAAATTACAAATATTTGTTTATCTATCTGTCTGTTATCTAATGACCCCAATAAACATTTGAAGAGGTCAATTTGTTGTCTATCTTACCAAAAATCATTTGCATCAGTTGGATCACCAGCAGAAGGTCGCCAAGATACATATTTTGATACGTTTGTTTTGTCTAAAAAGAGAAGGAGTCATGGTATCTTCCAGGATTTTTTGGGATTCCCCTCTCCCCTTGATAATCACACTCCAATAGCACTCCAATAGCAAAGTACAAGCACAATAAACAGAAAATATTCAGATCTGTAAAAGGAAAGTCAACTTTCTAAATCATAGGAAGGAGTAGGACATGCTACACAACTTTTGTTAGATCCAGGGGAACATCTGGATTTTAAAAATATGGTTTGGGTTTCATATAGAAATGGCAAAGGGGAAACAGATGGTATCAAAGCAGAAATTGGACAATTCAAGAATAAAATCCACCTTTGCTTGCTTGTCACAAGCAAGATTAATTTCTGTCCCTCTCCCAGAAAATTCTTCTCATATGTCATTCTTAAAACCTTCATATTTTTTGTACTTATTTACAGGAAACATGGACTCAGGATTGCATAAATAGACCCACTGAGACTTGGTGTTATACACTAGCGGTATATGAAAACGGTTTGCTGAATAAGTCTAGTTATTTAGATTTATGGATTGCAGTAAGTCTTAAACTGTAGTTTATATGGTAGGATAACTCAGGTGCATGAAATATTATTTCATCTTCAGTTGAATATGTCCATTTAGTGGTTAGAATGAAATCTTTTCTTAACAGATAAGAAAAATAGTAAGGAAGTACTGCATCCACTTTTGGTCACCACGACGTAAAAAAGATGTTGAGACTCTAGAAAGAGTACAGAGAAGAGCAACAAAGGTGATTAGGGGACTGGAGGCTAAAACATATAAGGAACGGTTGCTGGAATTGGATATGTCTAGTTTAATGAAGAGAAGGGCGAGGGGGGACATGATAGCAGTGTTCCAATATCTCAGGGGCTGCCCCAAAGAAGAGGGAGTCAAGTTATTTTCCAAAGCGCCTGAAGGCAGGACAAGAAACAATTGATGGAAACTAATCTAGGAGAGAAGGAACCTAGAACTAAGGAGAAACTTCCTGACAGTTAGAACAATTAATCAGTGGAACAACCTGCCTCCAGAAGCGGTGAATGCTCCAACACTGGAAGTTTTTAAGAAGAGACTGGACAGCCATTTGTCTGAAATGGTATAGGGTTTTCTGCCTGAGCAGTGGGTTGGACTAGATGACCTCCAAGGTCCCTTCCAACTTTATTATTATTATTATTAAACCTGTTAACAGTATACTGTTTTGTGATGCACAAACACCATCTCTTGGGCTAGTTTGTCCTACTGAAGTAATTGTGTGCCCTTCCCTTCCAGTACTTCAATGCCAGAATTTCATAGTAAAGCAGACATTTCTTTCACTTTAGGTTCTCTCTTTTCCCCTACAAATGACTATTTTAGATGGGTTTGCCATTTACTGCCAGCTAATGAAATGCAGACCTTTCAGTGTATTTTCCACTTGATTAAGAAAGTTTTCATAAAGTCTTAATAAAGCATTCAGGTGTAGCCTACCACGAGGCACAGAACATACTGCTCTGGGCTATTGCTGATTCACGGTCATAAGATTTTTATTGTAATTTTGGAGCATTTATAACACAGTCTTCATTAGCCAGAGAACTTACATCCATCTGTGACTTGCTCAGAAAGTATGCTTTTGTGAGTATTAAACACTGACTTCAATAACAGCTCAGGATCATCTTCATCAATTCTATCAAAGTTCCATCAAAATCTTCAATCTTATTTCCAAGCAACAAACGCTGGAGAAAAAGAAAACATGAGCAAGACTTTGTGGTACTCGTTTGCCATCCTTCTCTGCTCTGCCTTGGGTAAGTAGCTAAAGTTAGAGCTTTTAGCAATATTGCCATAATATGTGCATTTTAAATATTATACTTATTTCCTTCATTTTTTCCATTTGATTGAAATGAATCAAGCATCCCCTGCTTGTATGTGAGCATACTGTCTCTGAATGGGGCTTTATGTCCCATATCTTTTACTCTTTAGACCATTGTAATGTTGACTTAACTGTGGGGAACTTTCCACTCAGTTTTACATTTTAAAAAAGGATAGAAAAAATGTCCAAGATTAATAATGGAATAACAGTGTTGGAAGGGACCTAGAAGATCCACTAGGTCTAGGACAACCACTTGCTCAACCAAGAAATCCAATGGTGGGATTCAGCCAGTTTGCACAAGTTCAGCAGAAACGGTAGCTAATTTTTTGTTGCCAGAACAGACGTGCAGAAGCGGCATCCACACAGAGAACCGGTTGCTTACTTATTTGAATCCCACCACCGAGGAAACCTTATACCATTTCAGACAAATGGTTGTCCACACTCTTCCTAAAAACCTCTAGTATTGGAGCACCCACGACCCACAATTCTATTGGTACCAGCTACTCAGCTAAACAATTGGGAAAATGAGAGGTAAAGAAATTCTGGAGATGCAGAAATTAATTATATTTATACAACCTTGATTTTTCTTCTTCTTTTTCCAGCAGCTGAAGCTCTTACCTGCATCAAGTGCAAAAATTTTAAACTGGCTGTTTCAAGATGTATCAATAAGGAACCATCAAGAACGTGTATCGCCAAACAGAATCAACCATGTCAAATTATCAAATATTATGAAGGTATGTATGTTTCTACTTCAAATCTGGTATTACTCCAATAAAAATATTCCTTCTGCATGTGACACACATTATTCTATTCAAAATAGAGTAAAATGTTTACGAACCTCTTGTTTTCTGTGCTCTGGGTAGAAAAGAAAGTGGGGTGGGGTATGTCATTTCTAGTTCCTAGTGATCAAATCATGTTCATTCTCAACTCCAAGAATTCCCATCCAAATTGGGAATGGAAGCCCATAGCTTTTGTGTGTTTGTGTGTGTGTGTGTGTGTGTGTATGTATGTATGTATGTGTGTGTGTGTGTGTGTATGTACCAGGAAGAGGAAAGCTATGCTAAGGAGGTTTCTTGCATGTTTTTTCAGGGTTTGTGGTGCAACCAATGATGTAGATGTGCTAATTGAGTTTCTTCTTTTTCAGGTGAAGAAATGAAAAGCGTGTTTTTTCAAGGGTGCCGTAGACGGGACATGCCATGTAATACGACTGGTTCAATAACAGAAGGGACAATGTTTGAAAGCATCTGTTGTGACCATGAAGACCTCTGCAACACACCATAAAAAAAGCAGTCCCTGGTGTTCCGACATCACCGTCAGTTCAGCACATATTTTTCTTCACTACTTTCAATTGTTTTTTCTTTTTCTTTCCCCAAGCTTCTAAAGGTACTTTTGTAGAAAAAGGATCTGATTAGTCCATTGTTTTAAAGATGTGAGGGCTTGTTTTGGGATATGGTTGTAGTCTTGTAGACATTTTTCTGGTTCCGGTAAAGAAGCATGAATTGCAAGAGGTACAATCCTTCAGTCTGTGCTAGTTCATTCTTCTAAACACTGGCTCTCCTCTTTTATCAGGAAAATGGGTATGTGTATGTATGTGTGTGTGTGTGTGTGTGTGTATACACACACCCAGATTATCTCTCTCATTCTGCCTCTCTCTCTCTCTATCCACACACACATACACACATATTAAATTAAATAAAATTGTGGAACTAATGTCAAAATATGTCCCATTTCCAGCAACCAACTATTCAAGGTAGATTTCCCTATGAATATTAAGTCCTGACACATGCAAATCAGAAATGTCTGTTTATCCGCCTGTCTGTCATTTAATGACTCCAATAAACACTTGACTAAGAGGGCCAATAGTTGACTATCCTTTCAGAAGTCATTTGCATCAGCTGGATCACCAGAAGAAGGTCACCTCTGTCCCCAAGATACATACTATGATATGTATTTCTACTGTCCAAATACAGAAGGAATTACGGTATCCCGGAGGGTCCCAAGCCAAATGCCATACAGCTCAACAGAAATTCTCTGGCGTTACTTTCTGGTACCAGTTTTCTATCAAGGACCAGATCCCAAGACTGCAATATCTCTATTTCCTAATCTGCAGGATTTGAGTTTGAACATGGTCTGTATCTTATCATGAGGAAACTTCAAGGAATTCTTTTGCATTCTCCCCTCCCCTGATGATGCTTAACCACACTCCAATAGCTGAATTACAATGGGCCCACAACCGGCGGGTGTGTGAGGTCACCATTCCTAGAAATGGAGCTACACACATTTACATTCAGGCTCTTGCCACTCACACAAATGGAGCTGCGCGCGCTTGGTTGATCCCTGTGTAAAGCAATCTGAAGCAGTATATAAAGTCTAAGGCAGTGGTTCTCAACCTTTTTAATGCCGCGACCCCCAACCGGTCGTAAGTCGAGGACTACTCAACCGGTCATAAGTCGAGGACTACTCAACTGGTGCAGCACCGTTTGCAGAATGGGACTTTTGGTGGGCTCAGCAGGGCAGAGACAGCCTGGACAATTCCTATCGGCTTTTGAAAGCCAATAGAATTAGACTCTATTCAAGAGAGTCTATTCTATTGGCTTTCAAAAGCCAATAGAATAAAAGGGAGCAGCACAGCTAAGAAAAAGGGGGAAAAAATGGCGGACTGCGTTGTTTGGCGACCCCCGTGAAATGGTCGTTCGACCCCAAATGGGGTCCCGACCCACAGGTTGAGAACCACTGGTCTAAGTGCTATTGCTGTTACAACTGTTGCAGCATCCCGATGGTCACGTGATCCAATTCCTGCTGCTTGGCAACCAACATGTATTTATGATGGTTGCAAGGTCTTAGGCTCATGTGTTCTCCATTTGCAATCTTCACACCCTATAATAATAATAAATAACACGTCTTTAATGGAGCAAGCAAGCTGGTAGCCAGCATCCTATTTCATGACAATGGTGAAGAGCACCATATGTAGCAAAAAACCAGCAGAATATGGCATGGAAGATAGAGAAATTTTCCTAAATGTGCTCATTTTCTGCCTCAGATAATCTTTTAGCTGTTAATTTGGTGATTTCAAGGCATAGGTTTGGCCCAAGAAAATCTCCAACTGCTTTGGAAATGATACAAGGGTTTTCCTAAGATACACCCAGACTGGAGGGTCCTAGCAGAACTTGAGTCTTACCAATAGGAGCATAATATCTGTGACTGAATCTAATTTTAGTCTATTTCCAGTTGATTAAGAAAGTTTTCATAATGTCTTAATCAAGCATTCAGGTGTAGCCTATGATGAAGCACAGAACATACTGCCCTGGGTTATTGTTGATTCTTGGTCATAAGATTTTTATTGTATTTTGAAGCACTTACAACACAATCTTCGTTTTCCATCTGTGAACTTGCTCAGAAAATACGTCTTTGTGGGTTTTAATATTGACTTTGGGGATCATCTTCATCAATACCAGCAAAGGTCCACCAAAATCTTCAATCTTATTTCAAAGTAACAATTGCTGGAAGAAAAGAAAACATGAGCAAGGCTTTGTGGTTCTCGATTGCCATCCTTCTCTGCTCTGCCTTGGGTGAGTAGCCAGAATTAAAGCTTTGAACAGTATTGCTGTACTCATTTTCTTCATTTTGTCCGTTTAGTTGAGCCATAAACCAAGTGTCTCCTGCTTGTAAGTGAGCATACTGTTTCTGAATGAGGCTTTATGTCCCATATCTTTTACTCTTTTGACCATTGTAGTGTTGATTTAATTAATGGGACCATACATCTCAGTTTTACATTTTAAAAACAGATAGAAAAAAATGTGCATGATTAATACTTACTTCAGTGTTTGATTACAACCCATAACGAAACAACAAAAAAGCTTCACAGTTGTGAGTCCAGAGCTCTTAAGCCTTTTTGGAACCACCACTAGATTTCCGTGGAGACATGCCCATCATAGCAAAATACTTTGTCACACATACACAATTATAGTTCCATGAAGTGAACCTGTTCTTGAAGAGTGATTAAAATATTTTAAATTGTTTATATTTTAAAGTATATTAAATGCTTTATATTTTTTCATTAATGTACACATTTTTCTATGTTATAACTGGTGGTGATGGTTCCATGAGATTTTCCAAAAGTGTAAATCAATCATTTTCTACTTGTACCCTCCTTTCAGAAAGCTATGCAGTGTTCTGGATTCACTGAGCATCAGCAGATGTTACAAAAATTTCTTTTTTTGCTTAAATATTTCTTACTTTCTTAAAATATGGGGGATCCAGAAGGAAGGAAGGAAGGAAGGAAGGAAGGAAGGAAGGAAGGAAGGAAGGAAGGAAGGAAGGAAGGAAGGAAGGAAGGAAGGAAGTCATTTCTTTTTTCTCAGTTTTACCCTTTTTCCTACAGTTCTATTGGGACTAATTGACATATTAAACTATTAGGAAGTATGAAAGGTAAAGAAATTCTAGAGCAGGGCTTTTCAACTTTTTCACCCATTGTACCACTTTTAGGATATGGCAACATCTGAGTACCACCAGTTGCCTAGCAAGGTGTCAAAAACTTGATGACCCCCCCCAAAAGGAAAAAAGTGATAAGTACAGGTAGTCCTCGACTTACAACAGTTCACTTAGTGATTGTTTGAAGTTACAGTGGCACTGAAAAAAGTGCCCCCCAAGCCACAGCCAAGCAAGACACTTGCCTGCCCACCTGGTGGCGTTCTTCCTCCTATCCGAGGTTTTATTGTTGTGAGCATTTCTGTTGAGAATTGGCAGCAGGGATGGGGTGGGGGAGTTTTTGGTTTTTATTTCCCCCATTTACTGGGTGGTTGCAGCAGGTTTTGGTCACTTCACATGACCCTGGGACACTGTGACCGTCATAAATATGAATCAGTTGCCAAGCATCTGAATGTAAATCACAAGACTCTGGAGAGGCTGCAACATTCCAGCTGATCAACACTTCTTCTGGGCTCAGCAGAAGTGTTAGGATCAGTGCTGCTTTCCAGCTGATTGGTGCTTCTTCACAGCTCAGCAGAAGCACCAGGATCAGCGCCAAGCTCTAGCTGGAGCCTGGCGCTGCTCCTGGCACTTCCGCTGAGCCCTGACAGCCCTGCAGCTCCAGCCATCTCTCTCTCAGGCTTGTGCGGTGCTGCCACCGGTTCAGCTCATTTCCCTCCCCCGCTACCACTTTTCTAGGAGGTCGCATACCACCTGCCAGGTGCCAATGTACCACAGGTGTACCCGTACCACTGGTTGAAAAGCTCTGTTCTAGAGCTATGGAAATTAATTATATTTATACAACCTAGAATTTGTTTCTTCTTTTTCCAGAAGCTGAAGCTCTTACCTGCAAAAAATGCGCACGATTTAAGATTGGATTTGGTTGTGTCAGTAAGGAGCGATCAAGAACTTGTAATGCCATACCAGGTCAAAAGTGTAAAGTTATTAAGTCTTTTCTAGGTATGTATCTCTCTATTTAAAATTTGATATTATTCAGATAAAAATATTCCCTCTGCACATGACACACACTTGCCAATTAAAAATACAGTAGAATATTTATGTATCTATTGTTTTCTGTGCTCTGGGTAGAGAAGAAAGTAGAGAGGGGGTATGCAATTTCTAGTTTCTATTTATTAAATCCAGCGCTTAACATTTTTACAGACTTTTCCAATCTTGGTGACCACCTGTAATTTAGAGTCTCAACTCTAAAATTTGGTGAATTGGATACCGATATCTTGGGGGAGGGGAGGTACCAGGAGGGTGAAAACTGTTCCAAAGAGACTTCTTGGACATGTTCTTCAGGATTTGTTGTACAAGGAATCATGTCGATGTGCTAATCTATTTTCTTCTTTTACAGAAGGAACAATCAGAGGTTTGATTACACAAGGGTGCACAAAATCTATTAATGAATGTGGTCTGAAGGTTTTCAGTGAAACAGTGGGCACTCTGGAAACAACATGTTGTGATGATCGTAACTTCTGCAACATACCATAAACAAGACTATCATGGTATTCTAATATCACTTTCAATTCAGGGCATTTTGTTTTCTACTAATTTCAGTGGTTTTCTCTCTCCAAGCTTCTAACGGCTGAAAAATGTGATGGCTTATTTGGGGTTGTGGCTGTAGTACTGCAGATGTTTTTCTGGTACCAGTGAAGGAGCATGAATCGTGAGAGGTGTAATCCTTCAGTCTGTGCTTGTACATTCTTCTAAACACTCATTCTTCTCTTTCATCAGGAAGATGTGTATGTGTGTATTCAATCAAATTATGGAACTAATGGCAAAATATGTCATTTTACAACAGCAATCAAATATGTAATATGTATTTCTTGTTTCTCTGTAATAAAATATTTCTGTTTTGAAAATTGAGTGCAATGTGGTTTCAAGATAATTTGCACCTGATAGTAAATTTCTTACAGAAAGCTGGTCAAAAAGCACAAGTTCTTAAGCTTTTTGTTGTCTAGGAATTATTTTGTAGTAATTTCTACATATAATCGCAAGATTTCTGAGTTTGCAAAATTAATTGGTGAACTCTCCTTCCAATTGTTTGCGGACAACCACCTTGCAAAAGTGTGTGGTGAGCCAGACCTACGAAGATAATAGTTTTTGGACACTCATTTTAATATTTTTAATTCTTCATTCCAACATTTTAAATTGAATTAATTGATCACATAGAGATAAAAATATTTCTGAGAAAATTTCTTGTAAGTTGCTTTTAATTTTAATTTTAGTGAAGTATTCTGACTCTGAGTTAAAAACGCCTTCTTTTAAATCAAGTCAAATAGATAACTGAATAGAAATGATTTCATAACAAAAAATATATTTTTAATCAGAAAGATTACTTGCATTCATGCTGTGATTTTTACTTCTGGAAAATACATCTTTTGTCCATT